AGGCTTGCATAAAAACAACAAATCATCAACTGTTTGCCCTGTCAACTCATACAGTAGCTGATCGGCGGCTTTTTGGTACTATAGTCACTCCCAATTCCTTAACTTCTCATCACGGACTCCGTTATATCCACAATACATCACCATGCCGCCGAAACGAGTAAAAAAGGTGATGACAGTGCCCATCAATGTTATCTTTGGGCACCTGCAGGTGAGAAATAGTATTCTTATGGGTTTGTACCTTCCTTCTGTTTTTCCTTCTCACAGCTAGTCTTTCTGTCTTCTCTCCGGTTCTTTCTTCCTGTCTCACGGATGTTGCTTCTATCTTGTCTCTGATAGAAAAAGACACGTGTTCGAATCTGGTTGTGTGAGGACACAAAGACACAATTAGAAGGTCAGATCATTGGCTTTGACGAGTACATGAACATGGTATTGGATGATGCTGTAGAAATAGGGAAAAAAAGAACAGAAATAGGCAGAATTTTGCTAAAGGGAGACTCCATCACTATGTTACAAGAAGCAAATCCTCAAAGAAAGCAAGTCGAGCACCAGTGAGCAACTTCAAAGAAATTGAAAAATACCCACGATGCTGCATGGCCATTATAACTCTAGAGACTTGTTGTTTTTGTATGATTCTCTTTTACGTAGCCCATCATGTCATACTTGGTAGTCTAGCACATCAAATTTCAAGTCATCAGGTCCAACGATCATTGCTTGAGCTATTTTCCTCCCCCGAGGTGAATTCAGCCATGACCGAAGAGATACCACCATTGGCGCCGTGAGGAGATCTGTATCGATCTGACTCTGTTTTAGTCCTGCAAAATTCACCCCCATAATGATCCAAAGGAGGGACCCCGCGAGGCGGAGACCCAATGCAGAAACTGCAGTTCGCGCAGCACTATCATTACTCCTGAAGCATGAGTCTCCTTCAGGTGCTTCTGTTGGGCCTGGCCCACAACTTGTCGCTGCTTCCTCTGCAGAAACAGAAATCGGCAGCCTCAAGAACGAGAATGCCAACTAATAGTCGTGGTCGCTTCGCAAGAATATCGAATCCGCCAGTTGATAACAGGCTACGAAAAAATGTTGGACGACCAGAAGATTGAGGAAGTCGTTTGGGAAGTTTGAATGATTTTCTTCCACATAGCGCACCATGACATATATCATAGTCTCGATTATTGGATTTACAAGTTTAGTCAAATTTCAAGTCGTCAGGATCAACGCCCATAGCTTGAGCCATTTTTCTCCCCTGAGGTGAATCCATCACTGAAAAGATACCACCATCAGCGCCGCGAGGCGGCTTGGTTCCCACAAGCTTGTTACAATAGAATTTCACACTCATAGTACTAAGGAAGTAGATAAAAAGATAAGACGCTCCTTGTTCGAAAGTCACGGAAGAAGCTTCTATGAATCCTGTGGGCATTGTGGAAAAGTCCAAACCTCTTCTCGAAAGACGTGCTAATAGCTTCCAAGGCTGAAAAGGTAGAACGGCTATTACTTTTCCCTTATTCTCCGCTCCCAAGATTCTCAGCAAAATAACAAAAAATAGAGAAGAGAGAAAGTTTGGGAATGTATGCTTAGAAACGACAACTGCGCGTGCAGCGTCATAATCGTCAGAGGCACGCTGGTGTCTCTTTGCGTTCTTCTTGGGATTCTTGGCCAGATCTTCTTCAGCTACAACAACATTACATGAGAAAGAGATAATGTGTTAGTTCAGTGATGGATGAAAGAGGCATATGAGCCTTGACTATCATACTTTACCTTTTTTCTTCTTCCAACTCGCTCTCTCCAACGCACTGCATGCGCGTTTGTAGGGATCTTTCTTGTAAACCAGGTGGTTACAAGCTAAATCAAGAAAGATCTGACAAGCAGCGACTGTGATCGCAATGTTTAACACTTCTGAATGCGTCATGGTCGATACCGGTACCTGGTAGCTACTGGAGTATGTTGAATGTTTGATGACGATCTTTCAGTCAGAAGTTCAAAGTTTTGCTTTCTCTTCCAGCAGCCGTCTAACCGTCGTCCAAGACAGATGAATCATCCATTTGAAAATTCGAGTGACAGACAGTTGGATATTGACTTACATAAACCAACGCAATGGAGTTTCAGAATGACCAAATCAGCTTTCCCCAACACACATGGTTGTAATGAAAACTCAGTATCAAAACTACCAGCAATTCTTGCTTGTGGCTATCGAAAAATTCGAATTCCGAAAACAGCGGCAACGTTTCCGACGTTTCTTGTTCGACTTCCAGATCAACCAGAAGGCGTTTGGCGATCGAAACGGGATTTTCTGCTTCTAGGAAGAGTGGATTCATCACTATCATTTCCTAAGGCTTCGTTGAAGAAACTTGCTGATTTGAGTCCATGGAAACGTCCTTCACTTGATGTAGTCTGTGATGCCCACGATCCCCTAAACAACTATCATGTACGTATGAAGAAAAGCTTGCTCCAGCTCGATCAGTTTCTACAGGGAGTTTCTAGGTGTGGAAGCTATGGTGCTATCAAGGCCTGGGAAACATTTTGTCGCCCAGGTGATACTGATGGACTTGTTCCGGGAAACGGAGATGAAAAATCTGCTTCCACTAAAATGAGTTCATCTGGTCCGAAAATTACATCAGAGATGAAGTCGTCCAAACTAGGACAATACTTTTGCTCACACGAGAATGCCCAACAGGTAGTAAATTGGGTCATTGAGAGATGCAAATCAATATTGAAAAATGGATCTAGTGTGCTCTTTCTCGAGCCGAGTTGTGGAAAAGGGGACATTGTCAAAGAACTTGTTCATCAGCTTGATACAATTAACGCACCAAACAGTCAAGTCTCAATTCTGTGCTTCGATATTGACAACAATGCAGTACATGCTTGTCAAAAAGCTCTGGAGCCATGTAGGTATTCAATTCAATGCACCTGCCAAAATTTTTTGGAAACAAAGTACAACGGCCTGAACCACGCTTCTCAGGCAGTATTTTGTTTGGGGGGTCCTCCATATACTACTGGGGCTGGAAGCTTTGGGGAGATTCGGAGAGATCTGCCAACCCAATTCATAAGACATTGTATACAAGAGTACAGTGCTACAGCAGTTTGCTTTTTGGTCCCAGCTCGTTACAAAACAATTCTCCATAAAGAGGAAGGATATCGAGAAGAAATGATGGAACTCAAGTCTTCCACTTTTTTCTTTCAGGGTACGGTACCAGTTATCCGACCTTCAATCATTCAATGTTACTTCCAGCTTACGGTACCGTGAAAATGCTCGGCCTCACACATCATTTCCATGATGTCACAAAGCACGATTATCACGAGACTTGCGACCCATTGGATGTACGAGGCCCGTGCCTTGGATCCAGATGATGTAGACAAGTTTCTTGAACTGAAGCGACGTTTGTCGCAATCTAGGAGCAAGCGCTGCGAGTGTCGAAAAGCGAAGAGTCAGGGAGCAGCTGAGGTCGAGCGACAAAGCAACAGAGGCTACAGCTCGTCACACGGAGCAAGTGTGGTCCGCTGCTGTTTACCCATCCTCCTGCAGCCCTATAATTCTACTGATGAACTTATCATCCTAGATAGTACAGTAGTCAATTTGGTTTTGCATTCAAAAGTCGCATAATGACTAATACGATTTTTCGAAGGACTGATACGACTATGTTCGATGTTGTGATGTGTTGGAGGCACGCACGTAACTTTGAACTTCCAATGTACTTGTTATTTCCGTGCCATCCGATTGGAAAAGACACCATGAATCTCGTTTTCCTTTTTACATGTTCGCTCTATGTGCCAAGTACAACAGCATGGTTACCAAGATCAATTGCAGGGAGCGTGCCAACAAGACTGGGAGATCCGTCCATCACAAAGTTGAAATCAAGTCTTCATGTAGAATCAAACAGTCTTGGAGGTGTCCCTTCCTTTGAGAGCTGGTTCCAAAGAGTTGAAGGGACGAACGCGAAGGAAGGCCTTTCTCATACAGCCTTTGGAAACTTGAGGGGACTGACGTATGCATCTTACGGTAGCGATATCATCACAATACCGAAATCAATTGTGCTTGACAGTGATTTTACTCAACCTGATTGGGATGCTCAATTAGCATCGAAGCTTTGGGCAGAATGCAAAAAAGGACCATCAAGCATGATATCTGGTTATGTAGATCTTTTGACAAATTCTCAATGGACAGCAGCTGATCTCCCATCCATGCCTCCGAGTACAGCTCCCGACGCACTGAGACATTGGACAGAAGGTCAACTGAAGGTCCTCAAGGAAAATCCCGCTGGTGAAAAACTTCTCGATCTTATGCAACAGCAGGAGCAAATTTGGAAGTCTAAGTTTGCCACAGCTGGTAGCGATATATCATGGGAGCAGTTTCAATGGGGTAAGTCACACTCTGGTTTCGTCCAAAGATGTTCATACCCAAAGGTTTTATCTCACACGCTATTTTATCACCTTTGTGAAGCAATGGAAGTGGTTCATTCTCGAGCATTCTGCGGGGACTTTGGTGTCAATAGTGGTATTCCAAAAGCAGTGCTACTGAGTCTCCCAGTCCTGGCTGGGATCGTGGGATACTGCTACTCAGTCGTCCTTCATGGACAAAATGATATCGTTTTGGCTCTGTTATCCTTGGTTGCTGGGATTCCAGTAGTTTTGAGTGCTCTAACGAAGGACTCTCAGGTGGCAGTTCTACTCCCTTTAATTGATTCTGCAAATCACCAGGAGGATGCAGACTCAACGATTAACTACAGCCAGGTCGGGGAGTCGTTCAACCTGTCCGTAGGAGAGACATGCATAGTTGAAACGAATGGGGAAAAGCAGCTATTCATCTCCTATGGAGAGAAGAAGGACACCGAGTTGCTATTGAATTATGGCTTCCTCCAAGGGGTTGATGTCTCTGACAGTTGTTCGGATGTACGAAGACAAAAGCTTGCAGAAAAATTCTTGAGTCGTCAAAAATAGAACCTACAGTAGTCATAATTTTCAAAAACTAAATGGTACTTGTGGTATACGTGAACTCCTTATTTGACATATTCCCAATTATTCACCATGATCTTTGAAACACATTGTAATGCATGGCGTTGCAATTCCGGGTTTTCATGTTCGATAAGCGGCATGACCAGCTCCTTTGCCCCGAGGCGCTTTGCAATCGCTCTACCATTGGGGTAGTGACGAACAAACTCTCCAATGTCGTAGCATGCAATCGTTGTGACATCCTCATCATGTCCAGAAAGAAGAGCGATGAGAACTTTCAGAAGGCGGAAATCCCCATCAGATCCCTCAATCATGCGAGCATTCTCCTTGAAGAATGCCTCAGTGTGCGTAGAGCCCCACTTGAGGTGCCCTGATTCCACTTCGTTCTTGTAGACTTCCCATCGTGTCATTTCATGGAAGTTGTCGGTCAAGAGCTTGTGCAGAGAGCCAACGTCCTCTGCCATGTCCGGATCAGTAAACTGTCTTTCTCTCAACAAAGAAACCGATTTCATGAGTCCATAAGCAATCATTTCCGACAAAAAGTGCTTTCCATCGTACTTCGTTGTGAGGGCTGGTTCTGGGTCCTCATCCGAAGTACAGGTGGCAAGATTTCGTAGTGAGGATAGGGCAACACGGACAACCTTCTCACGAGGAGCAAGAGAAACCAATTCCACCAATGCCAAGACTGGTTGACCATCCTTGGCAAAATCAGCTCGAATCACGTGTGATTGATTCAATTCATAGGTGAGAATCCACAAACAAAAGGCCAGTTCGTACAGTTGTTGAACCGATCCTTGCCCAACTTTGTTTTTCTTGTCGCTATTTTTTCCATTCTCAGTCCGCAATTGACGTGCAATGTATTTGATACCTCCAGCTTCGCAAAACATCATTCTCGACTCTTTAGCATCCATCATTACCATCAAAGCAGGAGAACATAGCCCAACTGCACCACCAGAAGACCCCTTAAGATGATTGACAATCCAACTATTCAACGCTTCCATTGGTTCCAGAGCAGAAGCATAGGAAACTGGACGAGTCCCGGAAGCACTACGCTTCGATGGACACGATGCAATAATGATTTTTGCCAGTGATAACGAGGCAACTTTCTGCGCAAAAGCATCCCCTTTTCCTCCTTTGTTCAGAATTCTCAATAGTGCCTTCCATTGTTCCACCAAAAGTCCATCCTTCCCGACATAGAATACGGACGAGACAGAAACATCCTTTACAGATGCGCTCAAGGTTGTGACAATTTGATTAAGCTTTGTCAAAGAATAGTGAGTGACTACACCGAGGGGGTCCATATCCAATGCTTGCATTGCTTGTTCATCGGTACATTTGTCTGTGAATCTGGAAACTTCGCCTGTGTAAAATCAGATTGAAATGTTAGATTCATTCGCGTTTGTGGTACCATGGTACCATGTTCATGCCATCGACGATGATTCAAAGCTTACCTGAACCAGCTCCAGCAGAACTAGCTTCAGCTAGAAGCTTCAACAAAACTCGGGCGTACATGGAAGCATCCCGGGAATCTGCCAATGTGTAATCGATAGGATTGGTTTCAGCCATTCTCAAGAGTGCAGTCTCTTGTGCCGTTAGCCGCAGAGACCCCAGGGCATCCCACTGAATGTGTGGAAAGGCGTACGCAACAGGTGATGTTGGACCAGTAGGTGTTGACATCTTGGGTATATTTACTTGATGGACCACGGGTAGGATAACTGGTAATGGTATTTGAAGCTGCTGTACAGTACAGTAGTCGGTTCTTGACTTGGATCCACGCAGCAACTTCGGAAGAAGTTTCGTCTACCGATACTCCCCATCTGTCGGAAAGCCGACCTGTCTCGCTCACTGGCGAGGCTAATTTCGACGATTTTCAGTTGCTAGAGATACAGGTCGAACGGTTCGATGATGGAATACTTCGATTGCAATTTCAACCGTTTCAGTTGTTTTTCGTTCCGTCATGGGTACTTTCCCTCTAGCTAGCATGACAAACTCTCTCCACACTGAACAGTACCAGTACCCTGATTCATAAGCTAGCTGCCATATCCGTCGATTAGATATTGCGAGTACAGGAGAGTTTCAGAGACATAGTAGCTTTGGGTGCCGAGTCATGACGGAACACCATGAGGTTGCGAAAGACACTGTGTTGGTGCTAGTTCCAATGCGGAGCGGGAAAAGGCTGCAGAAGACGGATATTTGCTACCCGTCTCATAGCTTAATCCCACTCCAACATCTCGGAATAATTGGCCGACCTAAGCTGTTTTCCTGCCTCTACGCTGCTTGCGGTTGTGATGAAAACAAAATGATCGGGAGTTCGCAAAACAAGTGCCTCGAATGCCAAGAGATCACCAAAGCTTTGGGGTATCACATGTCAAGAAAAACTCTAGATATTGTGGCAGCCAACATTATTCGATGTCGGGGAGGAAGAAATGCGTCTGTGTCCGTCGGCTTCGTCCAAGCTAGCTCCAATGAAAGCTGGAGTGAGCCTATCCTACTACGAAATGGGATGGTTGTATCCTTTTCTACGAACTTTGAAAACAAGAGGCGACAAGATGACAACCTTCAACTTTCGTTTGAGGTAACTTCTGTTAGAATAGCTCCGGGAGATTGTGAGACCTCCCTTCTGGAAGGAAGAGAGAATGCTGCTACAAACAAAAGACCCCTCGAACAATCATCAATTGTCCGTCTGCAATACAGAGTACCGAAATCCTCCGATGCAGACCAGAGAAAGCGCAAGCCTAAAGAATGTCACTTGCTGTCCTTACGAGATCGAACTCCAATCCCTCTACCAGCATCCGACACTGGTGCTTGTATACCTCCGTCTCCGAATGCATCGATAGACCAAAACGAGACCAAGGAATCGAATCCTTGCCCGTTCGTGTCAAAATCAATTCAACCAGACGCGAATAACAAAACGAACTTGTCAGTAGCACCATCAAAGGATATGGCAAATACTGGGCCTTTCAAGAAACAAAAGAACGATACAGAGTCAAACGTAGAACTGAGAATTATCAGCAAGCGAACCATACAGCAAGCATTTGATCCAACACTCAACCTGGTAACACAGTCAAGTGCCAAACAACTGACGAGTAGCTCCTATGGCAATGTTACCCACGCCATGACAGTACTACAGACTGTAAACTCAATATCTGAGAACCTCAATCCATCAAGTGGCAAATTCCAACCTCGACTTTTCTTCTGTCCTCTGGGTCAAGACATGTCGAAAGGACTCATTGGAACCTTTTCGGCTACTGTTGAAAAGCTTGGCGGTATCGTGGTCGACAAACTGGAAGGGTCATCCTATATGGTCGTCAGCTCTTCTGTTGGTTCGTGGGAAAAGGTTGCCAAACGCCTTGGGATGGAGGAAAAGGAACTGCGATCGCTCTTGTCATCGGTGCGTGTTGCAGCAAATCGGTTGATGACGTTGGTGATCTAACATTACTCATCTTGTCACAGAAAGACATAAAGGCTATCACACCAAGATGGATCAGATCAATAGCAGCCGAAGGGGCTCTACGGAAGCCTGTGCCGAGTGAGACATGGATGCTAGTGACTAGTGTTCGAGCCGAAAAAGTAAGTTGTTGGGAACGCATAGATCAATCGAAATGTTGAATGACTCATTCTCTCGATTACAAGCAGCGGAAGAATGGCGATCCCTTACGCGATAGCGACGGGAAGAAAGAGAGAGAATTCACAAGCAACCTTGAAGTCTCAAAAATATTCAGGGAACTTGGTGAAATTTACCAGGACTGCCCTCTTGAGGAGAACGACATGTGGAGAGCATACCAGTTTCGAATCAATGCTGGCCGGGTGAAGCTTCTTCCATTCGAACTAACTCTTGATAATCTGGGGAGGCTACGTAAGGACGTGACTGGTTTTGGAGCCAGCTGCATTGAAATCGTTCGGCAATACTTGGAAAGTGGCGAAGTTGAACGTATACACAAGTTGAAGACGGACAAGAGACGTGTTGCGATGCGCAACATGATGGAGATTTGGGGCGTAGGAAAGAAAGCTGTAAGTTTGGAATATTCGTTTCGAGATGAGCAGCCCTCAGCTAAGCATTCAACTCCAATTGCAGGCATTGCAATTGATCAATGATGATTGTTCTTCAATCGAAGATGTTAGGAAAAGACTTTTAGAGAAGACTCTTTTCCTCGACCGCAACCAGCTTGTTGGTGTGGACTGCTACGAAGACATAATGCAACGGATGTCCCGTCCTGAAGTTGTACAACTCGGTGGAATAATCAAGACTCATGTATTGAAACTCTACCCGGGTGCTGAAGTGACGGTGATGGGAAGCTATAGACGAGGCAAGGAGTCATGCGGTGACGTAGATGTTCACATTACGAGCAATGACTACCGAACAAGGATACCTCCAGATGCTCTTAGTAGCATCGTTGATAGCCTCTGGAGAGACGGTCACATTGCTTTTCATTTGACAGTCTTATATGGGATGGAAACAGGCTATACGCTTTCTGATTACCAACAAGCTGGGAAGAATCTCGACCGAAGTGTATGGGAAACTAGCAAGGCTTTGCGCCCACCAACGACGAGACGTGAAGAGAAGAGCCACGCGACCTACATGGGCGTCTTCGTACGTTTATTATCTAGATACTTCCCCAACATTACATCCTCTCTTGTCGCATTTACTTACCTCTTCGTTTTCTCGAATTATAGAACTCACCTAAAAATGTGGGAACTCGAAGAAGGGTGGACCTAAAGTTCTATCCATATCGAGAAAGAGTGTTCGCTTCTCTCTACTTCACTGGAAATGGCTTTTTCAATCGGTCGATGCGTCTCTGGGCTAGACAGCGGGGTTGGCAGCTCAACGATACCGGTCTTTTCGAGCGCGGGACAAAAAAGAGGATTTTGGACGCAACGAAGGAGCAGCAAGTTTTCGACATCCTGGAGCTTGTGTACAAACATCCACATGAACGCGATTCATTTGATGCATTAGAACCAAAGACTGGGCAGGTGGTAGATTATGAACCAACCCAAGGTGAATTCAAAGAGGACGCAGAGAATCAATGGATTGTGTAGAACCTCTAGACACACGAAGACTTTGGAAATGATTTGCCAATCTAGTCACTAGCTCATGATTATATCAAAGCATAGTTGTAGCAGCGAATTGGAAAATCTTGGAAATGGTAGCGTGTCTGCCTAGTTTATCATTCAGTATGCTACTTTCCAGCATGCCCTCCGAGTAGGCGTGAACATATAGTGCAGAAGAAGAGCTAAGGTCCGTAGCTCCATCTCCTGGCTTCAATTGAGTTGCAACAATTATAGATTTAGAAGTGGGGAAGGACAGATTCAGAGAATGGTGCCATTGGCTCTCCAGCGTAAGCAGGGATGATTCCGGCGAGGCAGGGAGGACTGATCCCTCAACCTTTCCTTCGGACAAGAAGGCAAAGACACCCAACTGCAAAGAGAAAATGAAGTGACAAAGAAGAAGTCTAGATAGTAATCATAGTCGAAGTTGTAGATTACCATTGCCAATCTTCCATTGTTAATTTACTTTACCATTCCATTGGCTTTATCGGCCTCTGATCTGTTCTTGTGTCATCCAAAGGGGTCATAGAGGTTCAGCACTCCTCCAGGAATGACGGAAGCTTCGAAAGAAGGGAATTCACCAGGCTTTCCACCCTTCATGTGGGGTGGTGTCCTAGAAGCTTTGTCCAGCCAAACCCAAGGGGTCGAAGAATCCAACAATAGGGTTACATTTCTTGGCCAAATCAGCTAGATCAGTAGAAGTTTCCTGAAGAGAGGAAGTGACAGGAGTAGATGGTGCAGCGGCAGTACTGAGTTAAAAGTCATCAGAGATACCTTCGTGTTACTGTAGCCTTACTCTCTGTAACCAATCCCAATCCGATCAAGAGGACTCAAGATATGGTCAGTCGGCTGTCGGCCCATCTTCTATGAGTTGTGTGTACCGGTAGCAAACTGCGGCCAATAACAAAGCTGCGATTCATCGACTTCGGTGAAGTGGCTATCTTTCATCTGCAGCTCGATTCTAGCAAGGTAATCATCATGTTCTGCGAAAAACTACTACAATTTATCCTTGTAGTACTAAAATCATGATTAAACCTACGAAAAAATAGATTTAAGTTGCCTTGATGCTATATTTCAACTCAATGCCAGGGGACTATATGAGGTCAGGAAACATCAGAGGTCGCTGTTCATCTTTGTTTGGGCGTTTTTGACTGTTTTGGGTGTCTTGTCGCTCATCCAAGCTGGAAAACACAGAGCCCAACCATGGATGCTTCAATGCATCTGCCGCGAGTATTCGGTTTGCCGGTTTTATGGAAAGCGACGAATGGATCAAATCTAGCAGGTCTTGATGAAGCGGGTACTTCTCCTTCGGAATTTCCGAAAGGCAGCGCTCCAGGCCCTCCTTAAATGCAATCGGTCCCATATCAATTTTCCCGTAGCTATCGATCCATTCCTGTGTGAAACCAAGAGTAATTTCAAGAATGATTGCCCCTAGTGACCACATATCAGCTGTTCGTCCCTCAAACTTCTTCTCGAGAATCATTTCGGGAGCGAAAAAGCCAGGCGTACCACATGCATAGCCTTTTCGTATGATTTCTTTCGATGTTTCAGGTTTTCGGGCCATATTCACCAACCCGAAGTCGCAAAGTCGAATGTCTTCGTACGATAGTTTCTTAATATCAACGGACCGAGAAAGAAGAACATTCTCTGGTTTCAGGTCAAGGTGGCAAATTCCATTGCTATGAAGATGCTCAAGTGCACGCAAAATCCCGAAGGTCACTTGCTTTGCCGTGTCTTCAGTCAATCCAATCGTCGTATGATACGAATGCAAGTCCATGGAGCAAAGCTCCAAAACCAAGTAGATATTATCAGGAGCATGGATGACCTCGTTGAGGAAAATGATGTTCGGGTGTCCAAAGTGTTTCAACACATGAACTTCCATAGCAATCTGTTGCAAATCTTTGAATCTGCTCATCCTTTCTTTGCTAAGGATCTTGATGGCGTACTCATTGCGTGTAACAGAATCAACCCCCGCCTGAACTATGCCATAGTGTCCTTCTCCAATCTTTTTCCCCAGCTGGTACTTGCCGACTTGCGTCCAGCTCTCCGAAATGTCGTAGTTAACAGAGCCAACATCTTTGTACTTCCCAGAAACTTGAGGAATATGAAGAAACATAAGTAGCCTCATCTGGTGAATCAGATTCTTGTTCTGAGTTTTGGCATTCTCTAGTTCCTCTTGTAGCTCTTGATTTCTTGCTCTCTGATCGTTGAGTTCTAGTTGTTGGTTTTGAATGACTGCATTGAAATCCTCGATTTGGCTCTCGATTGAATCCCCGTTTCTGAAATGGTTTGATCTTGTCTCTGATCGTTTTAATTCCTGCAGTTGCTTGTCCATTTGGTCTATCCTATACATAAGTACCTGCCTTTGAGATCGCTCGCATTCCAGCATTCTTGAGGTCTTCTGCAGGTCCATTGCCAGCCTTTTTGCACTTCCACGATCATTTCGTGCTTCGCAAGTCTCAAAAGGGACATGATTCCGGAGAGTCTGTTCATTTTCAAGAAGTACCTCCATTCCCACAATATGAAATTTATCCTCAACCCCTACCCCTATTGTGTGCTGATTTTCTCCTTTGTTCAGGTGTATACTACTCGCGGTGTCCATCTCTCTTTGGAACCAGTTGCTTGGGTCAACATGTCCTCCTGCATTCCGTAGACTGCGCAACTCATTTTTGTGCCCATGGTCATGATTTGGGACGATTTGAGAAGATGCGTTCAGTAAACTTGTTTGATCCAGCCCAAGGATCGGACCAATCGCGACTTTGTTATCGACAGCTTTGCCTTGTTTGTCGATACTTGGATAGAACTGGCCAGAAGGCTCAGCCTCCCTCCGCACTGGAGTCGAGAACCCCATGCAATACATCGTCTCGAAATATTCTGATACAAATTTGGGACGGATAAGACTTGATCACAAAAAATTGACCTTTATGCACCGTAAGGTGCGTCTTTTGGTGCATCTCGTTGTCACACTAAAACTTCGCGGGAATAATTTTGTGAGCGGTGCGTTGAGACGGGATTTATCGAGCACTTCTGAAAGTCGGATTGATCGAAGACTAATAAAATACACCACCTCACCTACAGCAGTACTTGTACTACTGTTGCCAATCGATATGTACAGTAGCAATTTGCAAAAGTTGACATGTGACTGGGATTAAAACCAAAGAAGAGAGAAGAAGCAGAACCGTGCTCGCAATCTATGAAAATAATAATACAAATTTATAAGAGACCGATCAAATTCTATGGAACAAATATTTGTATTTGAATGTTTCAAATGAAACCAAGATCATTTGTCAGTCGTGCAGTGCAATGCTCAATCATATTCACTTTTGTGATCTAATGACCAAGTATATTCATAGTAATTTATACATTGGAATTTCATTTGGACTTCCCGTTTGTTGTCGCACTGTCGACATTATTGCTCATTTTTTGTTGCTTTGCAGCCGAATCATTTGTCGAAGGATTGGGTCTCTTTAGATTGCCCACGGGGAGCTGCTGCATACCCATGTTATTTGCACCAAGAGCAGGAGGCAAGATCATTCCACCTGCTGCTGATGCAGGAATTGTTTCTGACAACACAGGAGCGATGCTGTACACTGGTTGTTGAAACGGTTCCGCACCTTCTGTTGTTGCTTGGGTTGCAGCAACGCCTGGATTAGAAGCCTGTACACCGCCATAGAACTCAGGTTGCGAGCCAGCCTGTCGATTACCATCCATAGAACTTGGAACCATGATATTTCCTGGCGTCGCGACACTTGCAGCATATTGCACATTCTGCTTAATCTGTGGTGCAATTGATTTGGCTTCGCCAACAGTGTCAACATGTGTTGAAAGGCGAAGATAGTGAGTTATTCGCGAGTCCGTACTCAGTGGATAGGCCAAGAAGAAGTTGCGGAATCGCCCCCCACTTTTCTTGCAGTTGATTATCATCGCCGATGCAGGTCTCTTGAATCGAATTTCGTTCATCAACACTTCAACAGCAGTTGGATCCGTTTCTTCACCCTCCAATATTCGACATGATGTCTTCCCAACCACTTCTTCGGCCTTGTAGCCTGTCATCTCCTCCCAAAGTTTGTTTACTTGAACAATGGTATAGGGTTCATCAGCAAGAGTCATAACCATTGGCTTGTCAAAGCTCCTTTGACATGTCTGCACGGTATTTGGAATCACTGAGAAAGTTTCTGAGCCTGCAGCTTGTTTGAGTTGCAACATCAGTGCCATCACGTCAAACATGAGCTCAACCCCAGTGATTTTGTGGGCACTGTTGAATCTGCAGCACAACATTCCCTGCTTTCCCACCTCCATTCTCGCACCACATTGTGTGGCATTTAGAGTGGACATCACCCACCTTGCCATGATTTGATTCCCTGCAATCACCGCTTCTTCTGTCACGAGCGTGTATTGAAACACAATTGTCCCATTTGGAAACCTTGAACGGTCTACCAATGAGTTTAAAAGTACATGCAGTGACGCAGTATCAGCCATCATACCATCGATCCCGAGAATTGTTCTTTGACATTTCGAGACCTGTACCTCGCTCGCTGGAAACGATCGATACGGCGTCACAGGCAATACGCACTGAAACGAGCTCTCATCCAGAATGCTGGCCCACAATTCCCTCCGCTTCTCGTTTGCCGATCTCAAGGCAAAGAAGGACATGAGAACTTCAGTTCTCGTGTTGTGCATATCTACAAGAATGTTTGCAGCCCCGGCTCTTTCAGTTACCAACGTGTCCCTCTCCCTACATAGTTCATCGACCGTTGTCTTTAGCTTTTCAAGGTATGCCTTTTTCCTAAGCCGAGTATTTCGAGCATGTTCTCGATTTCTATCTCGATTTGCTCTAGCTTTTTCGTCGGCGCTCATATGGGAAGTATCCAAATCAAGTTTTTTACTCATTGATGAACTTGACTTTTTTGAGGCAATCGTTGTAGTTGCAGATCCTACCTTTGATGATATTTCACCATCCGTATCACTGGCGGAAACGATTGAAGCCTTGTTCGCAGCAGCAAGATCTCGTGTTTGTTTCGGAGCCGATGCCGTTTGTGGTGGCTTCTTCTGAGACGAGGCCTTCTTCGAACCTGCGGGCTGACGCGATTGTGCGGCGACTTGGACCGAGGAGACGATAGGAAGCTGACCTTGGTACTGCATCTGTTGGAGAGCTGCAGAAACCTGTGTTGCTTGTTGACCGGTTGCGACTACTTGCTGGGTAATTGGCCTTGTTTGCTGAACCGCAGCGGCATTAAACTGCTGCTGTAGCTGAGCCACTTGAAGTTGACGTAAAAATGCATTTGGATCAGCAATTGCATATTGTGTGTGTTGCTGGTCAGTCCTCTGATCAGTTGTCTGTGCTTGAGCCATATTCGGCATCACCATAGTTGTCACGGCTGGAGCAATACCCACAGCCTGCTGCTGCTTGCCTTGAGCCAGAAGAGCGTTTTGTTGAAACATAGCGTATGCTCCTGATTGGCTAGCGGCAAGATTGGAAGCAACAGCGGCCTGTTGAGCAACAGCGGCCTGTTGAGCAACTTGCTGCTGCTGTTGTTGTTGAGTCGCTGCCGAAGTACCCTGGAGCCCTGTCTGCTGCGGTTGCGCTTGTCTTGTTTGCTGTGCCACAGCTTGAGCATTTATCATATTCAATTGCTGCTGTTGCAGCTGCTGCTGTTGATACTGTTGTTGTAGTTGTGCTTGCGCCGCATTAGCAGGGGTCAAAGCTTGCGGTCTCGTACTTGCTTCAAGCTTCTGCTCAACTGGTTGCTGTGGCGCAGTGGACTGCCCTTCGTTGTACGACATTTGACTCTGATAGCCACCAATCGGTGAAGGAGACGGATCCGCAGCACTGCCATTATGATTCATAGGAACAGTAGAAAAGTGTTGCAAATAGGCCGAAGTGATGCCATCACCCTTCATGTTGAAGCTGACCAGATCGGGTAATGTTGTTGACTGCATTGTTTCGCGATCTGAAAGTGCTGCATTTGTACTTGTTGCTCCAACTCCGCCTTCTTCATCTTCGTCCCATGAAAGTATTGAGCCAAGGGCTCCAATTTCATCATCGTCATCATCATCCTCCTGAGAAATAAGAAATAAAACAAGATTGAGCAGACTGCTTCACATATTGACAAAGTTTGTCCATAAATAAAAAAGTCGACGATGGAAGGCAAGCTGGAAAAGACAAAAGACAAGACCCGGAGATTAAACCGAAGACAACGTTAAGGGATCACGGCGGAAGCCATGAGGATAAGGGTATCCTTCCTTGGAACAAAATTCAACAAGACCTGCAGGAGATCACCATCCCGTCCATATTCAACAACTCATGAAACGGGATGGTGGAGTCCAAACCATTCACTTGATCACAAAGCACATTCGACCTTTCGGTTTCCATGATGATGAATGCATCCCCGCAAAAGTTGTATTTGGAACCAACAATAGAACGTCGTCCACCTGTCAAAGTATGTTCTTATGAGAGCGTCAATCTTACCTCGTTGCTATCGCGACTTGTGAATTCATCATATGCTTTCGACATGGTGTTATTATGTTTGTTGTCTCTTGTTTTTGCTTGCTGTGTTGAAACATCGAACAACCCAACAACGGGCGGCCGTGAGCAGCTGCTCCAGATTCCTTGGTGCCTGATACGATTGGGTCAACGTAGATAAAGTACCAATTCGCTGTAGAAAATAAATTGCAGTTCGATGTCTCAGTGACAACCTTTTTTTTAACAGAGCTTTGAAACTCTTCAAGAGATATAATTAAAAAAAAAGAATGAGTTCTCATCGGGCCGGTGGGAATGAAACGAAACCAATCGGATTTGTCTATTATTGATGCACTCGTACCGTACAGTTTAAAAGACTTCATGCAAAGGCATTTTAAAGATGCAAGGCTTCTGTACGCATTCTACTGCTGCTAATCTTCTGACGCTACCAAGAATTTCATCATGCGAGCCAGGAAAGGTGGCTCTTTCCCCAATAACTTTGCAAACGTGCAAAAGAGAAAGCCCATCAAGAAACCAGGTAGAAGAATCAGATTTGATAGTAACCCGAACGACAATCGCTTCAAACTCGGTTCCATCGGAGAGGCATAAAAAAGGAAAAGCAGTCGACTTTGGATGAACATGAATCGTCTCCCAAATAACCGGTTGAACAGCAGATTATATATCACGTATTTTTTCTGCCACTGAGGGACTACCTGTATTGGATGCTCTTCCAAGAACTCTTGATAACATGGTTTGAGATTCAACTCCCTTGCTCCTTCTTTCAGAATATTCATGTACCTCTTTGAAGGGGATGGATCAAAGCTCAATCGGACATGCGGGCGAGCACGTAGCGCTACTGCTTTTACGGGGGTATTGTCATTATATGGAAAAGCGTCGACAACCACTTCTTCGTAACCTGGATTAGGCTGGTCATCGCTTACTCCTTCTGATGCCATGACTTTCACGTAGTTTTCAGCTGTGAGTTTCACCAAAGCTCCGTGGCATTCATTTGACTTGTACTTGACAAGTGGTTTGGAGTTTGAATCGCAAGGTTCCAGTGAACCCATCCCCGGCTCCAGTGGTGGAAAGCCCCGCATGTTAAATGCAAGTCGGTAGTTTGGGACAACTGCAGCTTTGAAGCTAATGGCTTCTATCTTGGTTCCGTTGATTCCTCGGTTTTCAAGTTTCTTTCGCGACATGTTGCTCCCGAGTCCAAAATAGTATATTGATTCATTTTTCTCCAAGGCATTTCGAACCAGTTCTGGGCGGGTGTTTTTTTGTTGTTTCGCCGAGGAGAACGAACATTCACTTCCTTTGACAAAAAATATCAGCCAAACTGCTAAAGAAAGCAGCTTCATTGCCTTAATATGATAGAGCACGTTGAGGCAGCAATTTAAATGCTAGCTAGTAGCACGTGGGAACAGAGTGCTCTGATTCTTTGCAACACCCAGAATGCTCCTCTGTTTCATTTTTTCTGACGAATGCAGTCTCAAATCGGACAAGCTGTCTATTGTTCCAGTCGGCCGATGGACAGGCGCTGAAAGGATTCAATCAAGAGTGATTGAATCACTCTTACATCATTCACTTTTCTCATCATTCATTCAGCCTTCGTAGTACGTGTACGGTACCGGTACCGCCGTACAATCGACCTCCTACTGTAGGAAAATCCGGAAAGCCATCACATTTTCCCTTAACGCCACATTCAAGAGAAATCAAATCAATGTCTCAAATTAGAACCATCAATCACTCTGCATCTGGGGCATCGTTTCAGTTTCACGAATTTGGCGCTACTGTCATTTCTTTCAAAACCTCTAGCAATCGAGAATGCCTCTTCTTGTCCAGAGACGCAAAGTTGGATGGATCCAAAGCTGTGCGAGGGGGTATTCCCCTGGTCTTTCCGCAATTTGGCCAACCAGATAAGTCAATGCCGCAACATGGATTTCTGCGCAACAATATCTGGAAAATAGACGAGTCCAGTGCCTATGACAACGAATCTGGCGCCGGAATATCCCTTACGCTCAACCTCAAAGATGTCAAAAACTCGAGAGGAGGCAAATGGGACGAGAACACGAAGTATGATCTAGTAGCTACCTTCTCGATCAACGTGGAAGCAGCCAAGATGAGCACTGAGCTTTCAATAACGAATACAGGTACAGCGGGTGAAAAGTTTGATTTCCAGACCCTTCAACACACCTATTTCCGCGTAGACGATCGTGCAGCATACGATCTCAAGCAATGCTACGTGAAAGGTTTGGAGGGATATGCTGTTTTCGATCAAATTACCAATGAAACTTCTACTGTGGGAGCTGATCCCATTGTCTTGGAAGGAAACGTAGACCGTATCTATACACCTCCTAGCGGGAAGGAGGTTGTCTCTGTCAATATTGGCGTCGGCGGTGGAAAGGTAATGAAGCTCACCGCGTCTGGCATTTGTGACGATTCCGCTATTCCTGTTTCCTGTGTGGTGTGGAATCCATACAAGGAAAAAGCTGCAGCAATGAGCGATTTTGGCAATGATCAGGTGAGCTTGAAATTTTGTACCATGGTACTCTCTCCGTGTTATTAATAACTGACACGTCATATCTACTCAATGCAGTATGAGGAAATGATCTGCGTCGAACCAGGACTCTTGGGAACTACTTCCCTGGAATCAGGAAAATCTGCAAAGCTCACCCAAGTCATTGAGTTGTGTTAAATGATGAAGACTCTTGTGGGATTGATAGATGTCAATGCAACAGATCGACGAAGGCGCAGTTTGATTGAAGAAAGAGTCAGTCTATGGAAAGACCAGAGCCACGAGAAGCTAACTAGTGTGAAATGATTTAGGAAGTTTCCATGCTCCAGTTATCGAATATTCCCAGCGTAATCGCAAAACATCTCGTAGCATTTGGGCTGATACATTGGCAACTCCCGCTTCTAGCACCTTGGATCCTTCCTTGTCCAGCCAATCAATGCTTATCTGTGCGACTGGAACCGCCATCAGTTTTGCTCTATACAAAACTTCTACATCATGTGCCCAACCCTTCAAATGGAGATCTTTGTACAGCAAACATGCAGCAGGAAGTGTCATGAGTTTGTAGCCACACTGGCTGTCTTGTACGCCCAAGCCCCCCATGATCACGGATACACAGGTCTGAAAGCCCCATCTAGTAACCCCCCGAGGACTAAATAAGCTGTAGTTTCGATTCCCAGTAACCAGCGCTGGGGCATTCCCTTTGTTAGTAGTGCCGGATCCTTGTAATATTTGGAGCTCGCCATACATTTGATTCAAATACGTCAAATCACCCGATCCATCTGCATCTTGCGTCAGTATGTAGATGTCATCATTCCCTGGATTTGCGTCTGCGACGTGCCTTATTCCTCTCGATAACGCTCCTCCTTTGCCTTGATTTCTGGATAAGGATACACAGTCGACTGGGACGACTTTGGCAGAGTTTTGTCTTTTGTTGTAATCGGCGGATCGTTTGACAACCTGCGAGGTGCTATCTGATGAGCCATCATCCACAACTAGGATCTCACACTGCCATATATCTTGCGATGATAAAAAGTTCCGATAGGATTCAAGTGTCGAGCCGATCCGGTCAGCTTCGTTGTATGCTGGAATTAGGACCACCAATCGAGGTGGTGCAGTGACCAAGCTGTTACAGAGTATCGGAAAGAGCGCGAGGGAGAAAATCTTAGGTATTTGCATTGCAATTCTGCAACTGGATGTCTCTCTGGTCAGCACTGTGAAATCCCGGATATTTGATTTTTAATAGGTACTGCAACATGTACAGTACAGGTAGCTGCGGTGAGTTTGCATCTGATGTGTGTGACGCGTCGTAACTTATTATTTATTCCGAATCAAACCGCGCATGCCAAACGAAACAACACCGCAAGACGGGGTAATTTTTCGAAATTGGGGCAGGGGACAGACGGCTTCTCAAGCGGGTTTCATAATGCCTAACAATTGCGATAAAAAATAACGGTCGTGTCACCTGCACGGCGGAAAGAAAAGCTCAACACAAATTGGCACACGATTCAAAGTGGCTGTGCGAGCACTACATCCTCGACACCTGGTGAACAAAACGGACGTGGAATCTGGAATCCACGAATGTGTATTTCTATTTCAGAACCGTTCAGAAATGGAATTTCTATTTCTGAATCGGTCGATTCCCGATTGAACTGCTCGTCCAGCCGTTAAATTCTAGCGATGATGTTTGCAACAATAGACCTCGCGAGCAAACACTCGCCAGTTTATATCCGGCGCTGGCCAACGGAGGAATGATCGCAAGTCGAGTCCACAAATGTAGCCTTTGTTGCCACACTAGCTTCCGAGATAGAAATAGAGATCCTGTTTCTGAACGCTTCAGAAATA